TGGCAAAACACTAGTAGTGAGAAATTTCAGTGGGGCTACTTTGTTTAATAAAACTAAGTACATTCTCGTCACTGATACTAATGACCAATACTATACAGTTAATGTGCATAAAATCCCTCTCTCCCTAGTAAAAAGCTATTTGTCAAGGAAATTTCTGGTGAAGAAACTTTTCCAAGGCAAGTAAATTTTGCAGCTGAATTTCTCGATGTAAATGCTATTCACATTCTTCTCTGTTGTCACTGTGGAGGAACAGATAAGCATATTCTGTCTCAAACATTCTGACTGTAATGACAGGTAAGATGTGATCAGAACTCTGCAGAGGTGGGGCAGTGTGTTCTGAGCCAATTTCCTGCTTTACCTGGAGACTCTTGCTCAGCCCCCACCCCTGACTCACTCCCTGGAGGAAGGCTCGAAGGGGCTGTGCAGGGGAACGGAACAGCACAAAAAAATCGAGTTAACATAAGAGGCTGCATCAGTTTACCTATAAAAGGGGAGCAGATTAGGCCCCCACACTCTGTTTCCCGCTCTCTCTCTCTCTCTCTGTCCTCTATCGCTCTGATGCTTTGCCCCAGCTCCAGAACATCCATGTGGCAGGACCAATGCAGGATCTAAGAACTCGTGATATTCTGTGTTAGGTCTCTCCCTTTTCTGTCTTTCTCTCTCCTTCTTCTCGTGCTTTGCTTGGGCAAAGCCTGGCTATCATACTTTACCCCTGTACTCCTTACTGAAGTTTGTTGTGGGAGTGGGGAGATAGTGAAAAGTGGTGCTGTGACTTGTGAGCCTGCATCTTTAAGAGGGTTGTTGTAAGAATTGAGAAGATACTCTACTCTACTGTATTGTATAAATTAAGCACTTGTTATTCTCCACTCTTGTGGAAGTCTACTGTAAAAATTTAAAAGCCTGTTTGCTAACACCTTTTGGGTCTAAATATTGGGTTGGTTGCTAGAGTTATGGTGACTGTACAATAAAACCTAAAGTTCCCTGACATGTGGCTCTGTGTCTTTGTTCAGCCTGATGAGAACTGATAATGAACATTGTGGCCCTTGACAGTGGGACGTGACAGTCGCTATGTGTCCCTTCATAAAACAGCCAGATGTTCGACAGAAATTTTAAAATAGCCTGCTACAAGGAACAATTGCATGGAAAATATCAGACAGGTGAAAATCTGCCTTTCCAGCAGTGTGAAAAACTCTGTATTAGTAGTTACATTTGCCTGTGTCATCATATGTGGGCATGTGTATGAATGACTGTATCTCATATGAATGGCTCCACCCAGTTAATGCCATTTTGCAGATCCTGTGGAAGCTGACTCCTCCATAGACTGAGGTTGAAAGAACTTGGGATGAAAACTGCAAGTCTGCATACCAGGCAAAGGCGTGTCCTCTGGCAAGTGATGACCAAGATCACAAAGTTTTATTTTTCGTCAGATCAACTAATTTGAGGTTTTCTGTGTTGAAAGAGGGAGGCTGCTTACCTACTTCTCCTTGGGCCTGCTGAAGACTTTCCAGCATTAACAGACTCTCAGTTTTATCCTTGCCCTTTCAAGCACATAATTCCATGTTTATAAGTGATACAAATGCTATCATCAGAATACAAATACATTATCACAAAAGCAAGAAGGTAAGACAGATTTGAGGCCAACCCAATTTCTGGGGAGTGGAGATATTCATGTGCTCTGCTTATTTTTAGTAAAAAGATGGTGGGTAAATCCGAGCCAGAACGTTTTTCATTCAATCTGTCCCTGGACACTAACAGATGGTGCTTCCTTGTGCCAAGCACTAATGCACTTTACATTGGCACTCAGTGTCAGGACACAAAGCCCGCCAAGTCCCTGCTAAATCTGCTGATGCCAGGAAAATTGATAATGAATAGCTAGCCAGAGATACAGTCACAAGTTCTTCCTCTACCTTCAAAGCAGGAAAGAAGTTACTCCAATGCAACAGTGTCAGATGCTCTCCACCTTGCCATTATCAGTGTAGCAAAGGAGTCTTGGATTGGGGAAAAAGGGGTCCTGAGGCCAAGCAGGTATGTATCTAATGATGGAGGGAGATCATTCTGCCTCATGGTAACTAGCTGTGTGCTTAAAACTGGGGTTTGAGAACCCTGACAACTGGGGCCTTAATGTTCAAACACCTGCACTGAAGACAATTAATATAAATCATTATATATATATATATATATGTA